ATCTTGCACCTAAGTGTCTGATATTCAAATTTCGCTTTCTGGGTCAAAACTACTCGAATTTCCTCACTCACATTGTTACGACTGAATCGACTTTTCAATTAAAATCTCAAACTTCTTGAATCAAGCATTTTTTGAGAAAACTGCCAACATTTGCTTATCGATAGTTCACTTTCTAAGAAGGCCATTTATTTCTCTCTAGAATGACGAACAAATGAGCGTTCTTGCTCATTTGGCCTCCGAGACATGAGCTTACTTCTTTTAATGGGATTTTTGTGTTCTTTTGCAGGTTTATATGGAAAAGAACCAATGTGATCAAGGGTGGAAGTGAGGTAGAAATTCGGTGGCTGATTCGAGACAATGTGGAGCCAGGAACGTACCGAATAAGCCATTTTGGGAATTTCAAATATATCCTAGGTGGAATCTATCCATACAAGGGAACGAGCAAAAGCTTTGTGGTGACCAAATCATGATTAAAGTGCCTTTGGTAGGCAATCAAGTCTTTAACGAGTGCCATTGTAGGTGTTATGGAAAATCTTGCCAAATAAAAACCAAAACTGACTCTGAAAAACGTTCTTCCAGTAGCTTTGAAAGCAGTGAAATCCTGAATATTTTCAGCAGGATTTTTGAAACAATAGCACATTTACAAATATTGCCAACACGACCACGCGTGGATTCGACTACAATACATTGTTTAAACAAAATTGCTTTTAGCTCGAAAATTATTTTTTTATTATGTACCTCTAAAGCTCGCGGCATTCAAGCAAAATGGTTCAAACGAACACGAGCCAGAAGCTTTACAAATTCATATTGAAATTAATTCGGTGGCGAATTTTAGAATCGTACGTGAGATTTGCGGGGACAAATTCCAACCATTTTCAATCTCATACATATTAAAGTCTTGTTACAATTCAATTTTTTATTTCACGGCGGCCTACATTAAAATAACGTTTTGAATAATGAATTTCTAACCGCATCGGAAGAAACCTGAAAACATAATTTATCTTTATGTTCGTGGATATTTGCTTAGGGCCGAAAGTTTAAATAGGCAAATCGCATTCGGTGGCTTAAGACCTGATAAACAACAGAACAGCAAACAAATTGACTAGCAATTAAAAATCAGGGCACAGAGGAAAATTTAAGCGACTGTTATCACTGACGCAAATCAACACTGTCTAAATTGGCATAATATTTGTTGATTAGTCAAATATTTTCCATAAACAAATTTGCTGATATTTGAACAAGAAAATTCGGCAAATTCATTCACGGAAGTAAACCGCGATCAAAGGCAGGAATTGATTTAAAATTTCTTCGTCTACCAAATGAGTCTAAAAATTAGTTTCACTGATTCTCCAGTACAAAAACTGTTCGGGACGTTTGTGAGTGTTATCTCTTGCTCTGCGTTCGGGACACCCTGTACATTGCCTGATATTTCCAGATTAATTGCGAATTTATTGATCCCCGTTCAATCCAGCTAATTAAGCTTAATTCATCAATGTATTCAGCCCCGAAGTTGCAAAATCGGCTCCATACTTCAAGAGATTTGTTTATCATTCACGATTGAATAAATCTGCCGAGTTTATCGCACAAACTCCCTCATACGCTGTTTCGCATTGAGGCAGGCTTATTTATTGTCGGTTTGAAAACTACTTGAAAGTCCGCATCTAATGATTCCAGTAATGGAAACTGGAACACGTTTGTCCGGTGAAAAGATGATTTATTTGGAAAAGTTCCCTGTTTATGTAAAAGCGACTGGTTGCAGGTGAATAAGGTATCAGGTCGTTGATGTTTATTCAGGCCATATAAACGAACAATTATTCGGAGGCTCATACGGCTCATACATGTTCAAAAGCAAATTTCAATCTGAATCTGAGCTAATTCTGCCTATAAGTAGAGAAACTTGATTTTTTTAAGCGTCCTAAACAGTAAGTGAAATTTACTGGCGGCTAATACGCAAAAAGCATAAATTTGAGCGCATTATTTTGCAAAAATTCCCAGTTTTCACAGTCTGGCTGTTGCCTTTTGAGCAATTGAGCATTTACAGACGCGAATTATTTACTGCATTTTGGCTGGAAAGTGCAAAACGATGCTTTGACGACCCAGCATGAGTAGACGAAAAGCTAAATGAATTTGCACTACACGAACTACACGAACATCAATTCAAGGAAAAAGCCCTTTGAAACAATTTCGAATTTACTTTATTAGTTGACAGAATATTTGATGAGGGCCTGGATAAATTGTCGGTTTTTTATACTTTTCTAAAGGTTAAAGTACCAACAGAAAAACGCAACAAATATTATATTTCCACCATTCTATCCGCATTCCAAAATGGTGTTCAATTTCTCTTCCTTGTCGGCTGTAACATGATCCATTTTCCCTTTTAACATGGAAAATTGGATAAAATGGATACGTTTAATGGAGACACCTTCGAACAAGAACACACAATGTTAAGGCAGAGAGCCATTGAAAAAACAGATTGCCGTTGACTTCCGCCTTCAATATTTGATTACGTAATATGCTGTTATTATGGAATTATCGGACTGTATTTTCTTTCTTTTTCTCCTTCCTTTAATTCATTTTGCTGAAAAATTTGTAGTGGAGCGTCAGTATATACGGATGTGAAAAACGCAACAATTTCCATCGAAAGTCGCACAAACTTTCTTTCAAACAAATTTTATTGCATTTGTACGTTTCGCCTAATCGAAAAGCTTTATTGTTTCGGAAGTCGTTAAATTATGCTAAAGGCAAACACATAATGCGTCGTATCTACCCATATGGGGTGGCCCTTTTTTGGACTATTTATTGATGTTTCATGCCTGTTTTAGACGGCAATAAAATCAGTGTTTTCAACTTGGAAACAGTGGAAAGTCGTCAGAAACCATTAAAAATTTTATGTTTATGGCCTAAGAACGGAGTTGCTATTTATAAGACTACAGCATGTTTGTGCAAATTTTGTTGGTTTATTTATCCTTCTTGTAACAAAGCAACATATTTTAGGAGAAGGTATTTGCTAATTATAATAGAAAATTAAATGAGTTTTTATATACTTTATGATTGCTATCTTCATCAAAGCAGACAAAATCGTGGGTTTAGGCACGATCTCAATGAAAAATCTTCTAGAGGAGCACTTTTCAAAAGTTGCCTCAAATTATTGAGGCACACAATTAAGGTTTCAACTTTAAAGACGCTGATTTAAAACAGCCACTTTGAAAAAACGAGCTTAATTACAGAAAAACCATTCAGCATGAAAGTGGTTTCTGAACTACAAAATTAGATTCATCATCTTTCTGTTTTTGTCATATAAATATTATTTATTATTGTTAGGGTTAAGTTTAAGGAAGAATACGATCGATGCAATAATTTTAATGAACGCCTTGCACCGTCACCATCAAACGCTTACAATATAATTAAAAACACATAATTTTGAAATTATGAATTGACTGAAATGAAGTCCGATGGATTATTTTTGGCCGAGGAGTTCCAGATTTATGTTTGCACTAACAATAATATAGAAAAGTAAAACCTTTGCGTGCACTTTTGCCTGAGCTTTATTCGAAACTTTCTATATTTAGTGCAGTACGCAAATGTTGATTTTGCCTGCTGATGTTTACTGAAATTATTGAATGATTCAATGTTTTAGGTAAGTCGTCTTAATAAAGCTCCAATAACAAAGACCACGATGATAAGGAAACAAAACTAAAAATTCAAGTTCAGTTTCAGTTTGGTTTGAAACTAAATTAACTCGATCTCGCTTCGATCCTTGTAAAAACATGCCAATTTCGCTATGCGATCGGCATGTAGGTCACAATTCCATTAAAACGAAAACTTTTCTTTATTATTCGCCCAAACTAACGCTGATTTGGTTTAATCGGAAAAGCTGTTGTGGGAGGAGTTTTTTAAATTGCAAACAGTTTTTCGGTTTGGATTATTGCGAAAATCGGAGTTCTACATTTGAATAGCTTCCAGAAATAACATCAGCAACTTAATTGAATTTTACTGCATAACAATACAATAGTTTACAAATAGCCAACACCTAAATTATTCACTATTTCTGGTGATTATTTTGGTTTTTCTATGGATATGTGAATGTAATTTCTRAATGGGTAAAGCAAAAAAAAGCCCAAACATTACATACGTTTGTATAGTTCAGTTAGGAAATTGACACAAAAAAATGCGATTCTATAATGAATAAACCCCGCGCTGCAKTTAATGGCCGAAGTGTAACGTTCCTTTCCATTGTTTTCAGCTGTCCCTTRGATCCAAATGGAACTGAGCTAGAAAATTGGCCTATTTTCTAAAAAAAAACATAGACAACCCATAATCCAATAAATCACCTTTCACGTCTGATGGAAACGCAGTTTTTTCAAAATCGATAACCAATTATGGTTTATTTACCGCATATAAATGGAAGCCTGTCTATATTTTATGCGTTCATTGTCCATTGAATAAACGGAATTGTATAGTCGAAGAAATTCATCAGTTTTATTTGGGTTTTGAATTGTGCAGAGTTTGAGCAACTGAAAATGTAAATAACTGCGTACAAAAGTGAATGGTTGAGTAACTTGCAGAAGTGGAAGATTTTGAAGACTAGTCGATTGTTGTCCTTCATAAAAAACTGCTGAGTTTAACCAAGCTTCAGAAAATGGTGTTTTCTTATTTAAGATCTGAAGGAAGTGAAGAGGGTCTGTTGAAGTAACTCAGACCCTGGAGAAAAAAATAAACTTTGCCTCAACGTTCTTCTTCAGGCCTTCTTCACTTCCTTCAGCTCCTGAAATAAAATTTTCGACAGCTTAGTAAACAACGCCGATTTTTTTCTGAATACAATTGAATCTGCAAGAAGTCAAGAAGAGTCCGAAGAAACACTTCAGATCCTGATGCTGTAAATAAAGCTTGAAGACGATGGTCTTCAGAAAAAAATTTCTCGTCAAGATCTGAAGGAAAATGTCCTGGAAAATTGTTGAAAAAAGTGGAAGATCAGAATAAAACACTTCTCAGTTGTTTACCCAGCTTTCAAAAATGTCCTTCCACTATTCCAGGCATTAAAAAACGTGGGTCCTACATGAACAGTTTTCAATCTCGCAAATCAAAGCTTTTTAAAACATTGCAGATTCGCAAAACTGGCCGAAATAATCTTGGTAGGGTTTGTTTGGTTGTTTGCATAATCATATTTTCCTTTCTGTTAGTGGTTCTACTTAATGGGGTCCAAAACGTCACTGGCTTGAAGCTGATTGATCAGCAGAGCGAAGCTTACGAGTTAATTAAAAACGTTCTGCCGACAGTTCATTTACAGAAGTTTTGTATGCGAGATTTTATCAAGGAACGTTGAAAATGGCAATCAATCTAATTAAACACGCATGATCTGCTACGCCCTTAATGTTCCCAAATTCATCATCCTAATTTGGTTTAAATGAGAAATATTCCTGCGGAATTCTTGACTGTTGCTTATTGAATCCCATTCCGGATTCAATGGATGTATTTGAACACTTCCGCATTTTTCGGACATTGTGATCCTTAATACATGTAGGCCAAATATTTCAATACAATATAAAAAACTTGATAATTTACTGTGGGAACAAATTAATATTGAATGAAATTCGCGGTTAACGAGAGTTAGTAAAGGTTATAACAGTAAGATTCGCAAACAAAACCTTCAAGTGGCATTGCAAAGCAAATTAAATCTGTGTTGATGTCCAGTGCTTTCAACACTTTGCCAGCAAAGGCCAAATCAACACGAATCTAACAGTCTGAGTGAATCTGAATTTCATAGAAAAAACTCTAAATTCAGCAATTTAAATTAATAGATTTCCAAATGCTTCGACACTGACCTTTGTATGGTACATTCAGCGACTAAATCCTGCAAATCTTCGACAACCCCTTTCAATCTGAACGAAAAGTTATGCAATTAGTAACCGTTTTGCGGCAATCAGAACATGCTGATCCTTCGTCCTTATTGCGCCTGCATCTCGTCCTGGCAGGAAGAAGCCTTCGAGGTCTAAAATCTACCAAACAGTATCGCGGAAACCGGCAGCAGGAATCCTGCAACTTGTAGCTCATTCAAGTCGGTGAGCGCACCTCATTTTGCGCGAATACTTGGGAAAAGTTCTACATACAATAATCAGTTGAGTTTTTCTTTGGATGTTATGGAGTGGATTTTTCAAGCAGCCGAAGCAGTGTTTTAGGAAAAAGTAATGTAAAACCTGTTGATTATTTTTAAGCCCCAATTCTGCGATATGCAAAGGTTCGAATGAAATCAAAAGTGTGTTTCCACTTAGTTTATATCGGTTAATGTTGCGATAATCAGAGGCAAAAGCAAATTGATTTTTGGAAGCCAATCAACACCGAAACAGAATAGCAATCTTCTTTTGTTTAAATAATTTCAACATGCAGTTGCTTCAGTTTTCGCACTTTTAATTGATATATTGAGTTGCTTATTACAGGCTAATTTGCATCACAAAGGGGCTGAGGGTAAATGTACTTCCTCACGCTTACCAGCAGATTATCTAAGTTATCCTTTAGTATACAACTAGAAAAAAACTAGAGCAACCCCAAGAGGAAAATATTCATATAAATAATCTTGTCAACATTTTGTAATTTTCTAAAAATGGCGATGTTTGAACGCTTTTAAGTTGAGTTGAGACGAGTAAATAAATCTTTAGTGGAACTAAAGGAGTTTGAACTCTGATGCGCCCAAAAATAATAATAAAAAAATTGTATTTGCTGTAACATTAAATGGGAGCTTCCCAGAAATGTTTCCAACCTTTAGTTTATGGCCTGTTATGTAGGGCCTACCAATAAACCGCTTTTTACGATCCATGTCATTTTTGGGCAAAGACTAAAGTTCAATTAGCAATTAACCTAATTTTCCATTTAATTACTGCTCATTTGCAGAATTTTCAGTAAATTTGGAAGTAAATACACACTTTTTAAAACATTTATCGATAATGCATAGAACAATATATAATCTATTAAATCAGCCATTAGCTTAGACTAGACTGTTAGGAACATATGGATTTTGTTTGGTGCTAATGGAAATATTTTCGAGTACTTAATGCTCTATGAAGGGTCTAGATATGTTTGGCAACTACTTTGTGTAGTTTATTTACGTAAAATATACCATAGAATTTTACCAAATCGGAGGTTCTGAGTGAGCTTTTTTATTTTTTTCTCTACAGGTGTTTTTCGACGAAAATTTTGCTAATAAAATAATTATGGCTTTTATTTAATGGGGATTAACAGATGCATCCATGCACCACAGCGTCATTAATAAAACATCCAGCATTTTGCAATCCGCGATTGGATAAATCCAACTAATATTGTGCGGGAATAAAGTAAAACTTGAAATTTCTGGCTCAGTTCCAATCGGTAATTTATGTTTTGATTGTGATCGTATTTATTTTCCTTTGGTTTAAGCCCGCTTTATCTAAACCACTTTTAGAAAAGTGTATTTTTGTATTGGGACAATGTATTTTATGAAAGCATTAAGTTCAAGAAGGCGCTTGCCATCGTTTTTTAGTCCATACTTTATCGATTGCCGAGAAATAGGCGTGCAAAATTGCAAATGAGTTTTAAACTGTTCAACGACAATTATTTTTATTGACGTGAAGTTGAGACAGAGAGTTGAAGAAAATACAGTAATTAGTTAAATCAGATGGAACAGGATGACAAATCATTAGGATTTTTTAGGAATTAGTTGTTATCAATTGGCGCTTTTTTTGGTCTTTAGGAGGTCGTTGATAGGACTTTCTTTAAACATGGGCGCTTGATGATGAGAAGTTTAAAAAATTAAAATAGTTTGCTCTCTTTCACAGCTTAAAACTGGGTAATTTGAGTCGGGAAGGTGGCAAGTTGGAACGCAGCAGAGGGCCCGCCATCGTGCATCTCTTATTACTCCTATGGGTGCGGGTGAGAGAACCGATACCCACTAAGCTCTTGAATGGACATTCAATGTGAGTTGATTCATTCAGTGTGGGCACCTGTGAGGATGAGAGACGCAAATTTTTTTGCCTAAAAATCGCCGATTGTTCAAACGCTGTTAAACATGTAATTTCGCCGAAATTTTCCCGATTTCACAATTTTCCACTTTGCACAATTGACAACTTTTCGTGAGCAAAAAATTCCAAGACTGCTACGCTTGCCGATGAAAGTTTTTCGCCGCTGCTGTTTCGATAAGTTTTCTTTGTATTGCAAACAGTTGAACGGGTTTTTGCTTTCGATTGCTTTTCCGTTACAGCGATAACACCATGCTTACGACTTGAAGTTCACATGGTTTGCAAAACGTGGCGGATTCGAGCTGTTTTGATTGGTCTGCTTGGTGAAAATGAGGTTTTTTCTCGGTTCATTTACTAATAATGTCTTGCGAATTAAAGCGACAGTTTGAGGCAGCTGAAAATTTTCCTGGGATCCTGGCGAAGTTTCGAGTCTGTGCAAGCTTAATCTGTGCAACTCGAATATTTCCAAAGCCACTTAGTTGATTGGTTAATAACCCACGCAATTTCCCACGAAACAGTGTAATCGAAATTTAATTGTTGTTCGCCGATTTTAGTTACCGCTTTTTCATTTATTTTTTATTAATTACTGGTTATCATTATCATAATGCTAGTGGATGCGAAACAGAAGCGAAACAAAATTTTGTATGAGCTTTCTCTCAGCGACAAACTGAAAAGTTACTCACTTCTATCGTGAAACGATGCAAGTGTTTACAGTTTTAAAAGGCAATAAATGTAATTTTGCCGTAAACGGCCTCAGACCAGCTTAACAAGAATGTGCGCTGTAGAGCAAAGCAAAAAAAGGCCTTAAATAATGATGTTAAGTTGATCTTAAGGCTGGTATCAAAACAGATAGACTTTCGAGGCCATTCGTTGAAACTGATGGGTTTTTAGGCCGTCGTTCGGTAGAATTTCGCAAACCACTTCTGAAGATGCAAGCCACTCGTGCTTCCGAAACGTCAGGAAGAAATTCTACCGAACGACGGCCTAAAAACCCGAAAAATCCATTAGTTTTAAGACTGGTAGTTTACAGAGTATGTCGTAAAGTATTTGGAAATTTAATCATGATTTCAAATCATTCAAAAAATCTAGTTTCGATGCAATTGTGGTTGCGAAACTAAACCAAAAATGAAGAACTAAGCGCACCGTTCGAATTCAAGCTGGAAACATTTAGCTACTTTCAAGATTAAAAGACATACTATAACTGTCCTACTTTAGAATGTTTCAGGTATACTGGAAGACCATTTATAACAAGTTTGGAACTTTGGCAAGCGAGTATTGTTCAACTAATTAAGAGTTTTATTAACTCAGACGGGCCGCTACCGCTAAAACTTTAAAACACTTTTTGCTTTATTATTTTCGCAACAAATTAAAGTAGCAAACACCTGTGTATACAAGCGGGCCAGTTTCACGTTCTCACAGTATTTTGGAGTTAACTTCAATTAACCAATCGCGGTTTTATTGTCGAAACATGTTGGCGGCACATTGGCGCAATGATGGACAGAACCGCTTAAAAACCCATAAAAAACTGACTTGTGTTCAAATACTGCATTCGATTGTGTCTAGTTTTAGCTGATTTTTCCTTCTCTAGTTCGCTTCCGCTGTTACATCCCAGGAGACAATAAATAGTCACTAAGCGAACATTTCGCCAAACGATTTTCACATTTTAAACCCAACGTTAATGGCCCTCGGCTCCGGGATTTGGATTATCTGGATATCCAGACTGAATTTTTCAATATAGCAATTCGAACAATTAGGAGGGAATGGCCCGAAATGGGGCGTCTCGAGTAGAGGACGCATGTAATGGAAACTCTTGTCCATGCCAGAGGAAATAGTCTGGAAAGTTGATTTACACTTGGTCCCTGGGGGGTTTTAATGCAGAATGTTCCTAAAGTTTGGCAACAATTTCCATGCTGGAAGCAACAGTTGGAGGGACATGACTGCTAAAAAATTGCCACAAAGTGTGAGATTTGCATAACAAGTTGAACGCTAATCGGGAACAACCTGCACTTTAAGTTATGTGCATAATTCGCGCTGCTAAAGCTGCAAACCAACTGTATAAGCTTCGACTATAATCCAATCCCTTATATGAGACATCGACAAAGTGCAGCCAAAGGGAACAGCTCTGATAATGGCCATTCACAGATCGAAATAGCAATTCCATTAGAAATGAAACAGGTTTCCGCCTCTTGGTTGTTCATATGGGTACTTGAAGAAGTTGCCAATCTGGAGCTGAAAATTCCAGAAATTGGGCTTCGCAAACAAACAAAGAGCGGACTTTTTCGGGGCCTTCAAGGCTCAGGTCACTGAATGCAGAACTAATGAGCTCTCGTTAAAATTTCGCAATTATCCACCTGATAGATTACGAATTTTATTTTATTTGCCGACTCATTGGGTTCTTCATCTAACAGTTTTGCGGTTCCTGCGCTGGCTTGTTTGGTATAAGTCAAACCCCAAATTGGGGTTTTTCTCAGCATTTTACCAGGCGAAGCCATCTATGCAGATCAAAGTTTTTTTAATTTAATACCAAAAAGCGATGGAAACAACTGCACGTTTTTAAGCGCGACATGATTAGGCAAATGTGGACAATTGTGTGTTAATTATGGTGATTTTTTCAATCTGAATAGTTTCCGTGCCACATGCTTGGAACTTTGAAGCTTACGCTGGAAAAACCCTTCATAAATATTTCGAAAACTAATATGCGCACAAAATGTTTCAAATTATAAAGTCGCAGTTTCAGTTTGGATAATTTCCATGCCTTTTCTGGGAGTTAAAATATATGGAATGCTACAGGGAATTCACTTTTATCACATGTGAGTTGGCGATCTTCTGGGAATGGAGCTCTAGGAAGTTTCATGTTGTGCAGAGGAGAATGGCGTTGGAAAGCCGCAGGCAAATTTGAATGGAGGATTTGCAGTTTTAAGAGGCAAATCCTCAGCTCCGAAATAAATGAAAATATCTCCAAAAAGTTCAGACGCCAAACATATTTTTACACCAGAAACCAGTCGATCAAGTGGAGGCAATCGGTAAAAATATCGATGTTGTTTTCACCAGTTACAATTACTCGACTCTCATATGACTTTTATTTAAATCGACACTTATTAATTAAAGCATAGAAGCGAATTATTTGCATAAATTATGGCAGGACCAAACTCCAAGCCCGGTAAACTAATGGGGCAAAATACGCAATTATTTTAATTGTTTTTTACATTTTAACACCTTGAATTGGAAGAGGTATTGATCGAAATGTGGGGAAGAAGTGAAAAGATGCAGGTTGAGGTTGCATTTCTCTTTTTTGAAAAGTCGAAGATATTGGGATCGAACATTCTTGGAAAACTTGAAAAAAAGGTAAAATCCCAATATCTTGTACACAAGTGGACATTTGGTAATGAAAAATTCGCAAACATTTGGATTTTTTTGCGATCTAAACAAAATGTACAGATCGAGCGGACAAATAGATGTTTTATGCAGTGTAAAAATTTCACGTCGCTACCTGTTCCAGATTGGAAGTTTCGAATTTTTAAATGAGAGCGTGTAGTTGGACGAAAATGTACATTTTTGTTCAACTCTTGCCTATTTCGAAAATTCATAATTTTGCATCAATTGAAACTGCACAGTTTTCTATTGTACTTGAATTTGTTAATTGCAAGTTGCAGCTTGCTCTAGATTGAACGGTAAGGATTTTTAAGCAAGAGCTTGCCGTTGGACGAATGTGTTCAGTTTTGGTCGTGTCTTAACAGATTTGAAAAAATTCAGAATTTAGCACGATTCAAGTGAAACTTTCCGGGTTTTCAGCTCCATGTGTTTTCTGCAGGTGACGCAAATTTCCAGTTGGTGCTGGCTTTAGATTAGAATTTATGATTTTTTAAGCAGGAGCGTGTAGTTGGACGAATGTGTTCAGTTTTGGTAGTTCATTCACAAAGTTGTCAAAAATCAGGATTTTGCATGATTCAAGTGAAACTTTCCCGGTTTTCAGCCACATGTGTTTTCTACAGGTTGCGAAAATTTCCAGTTGATGCTGCCTGCAGATTATAATGTATGAATTTTTAAGCCAGACCGTGTAGTTGGACGAGCGTTAATTTTTGCTCCTAACTTGCCAGAGTTGCAAAAATCACGATTTTGCATGATTTCAGTTGAAACTTCAGAGTCTTCAGTACTCACTATCTTCTCCAATTGTAACGATTTGTCAATTCCAAGTTGCTACTTGCTCTAGATTGGACGGTACGAATTTTTAAGCCAGAGCGTGTAGGTGGACGTGTTTCCACTTTTGATCCTGGGATCGACAAAAATCAGCGTTTTGCTGAATTCAAGTGAAACTTTCAAAATCTACAGCCCCATGTGTTTTCTACCGGATGCGCAAATGTCAATTGGGTGCCTGCGCTGTAGTGAAATGTACGAAATTTTAAGTAAGAGCGTGTAGTTGGACGACGATGTTCAGATTTGATCGTACATTGACAGAGATGGGAAAAATCAGGATATTGCATGATTTACGTGAAAACTTCAGAGATTTTAGCCCTCAATTTCGTCTTTAAGATGTATCAATTTCAAGTTGCTATCTGCTCTAGTTTGGGCGCCACGAATTTTTAAGTAAGAGCGTGTAGGTGGACAAGTGTGTTCACCTACACGTTTAAAAAATCATGATTTTGCGTTATTGAACTGGAAATTTTTGGCCCCGCATTTACAGAGTTGGCAAAGCTCAGAATTTGGACTGATATGAGTGAAAATTTTCTTAAGGATTCGATCAAGACGAGCATTCAAACTTTTTCAATCAATTTTGGTTTTTGCTAAACCCTGTTTCAGTGAGTTTATGTGAGCAACTTTTTGAATGTATTATTTTCCAGTGGCTCAAACCCGATTTGAATAACATTGCGCCTGAAAACTGGCTTGCTTCCTGAAAAATAGCATCAATCTCTGAAGATATTTACGGGTATAAAGCTGGCTTTTCCCCACATTTTCTGGCTCTTATCCAAGTCCATCCAGAAGGGCCTTTCCACGCAAAGTTGAACGAATAGGAACGACTGCGTGTGTTGCTAGCGGAGCATTTCCGAATGAAATATAAAGTTATTTAGGTGAAAGTTGATTGCTTGGCTCTTGCACCCGACATCCCAAAAGTAGTGGGCCGTTTATATTTTTTCCCCAGTCACCAACAGCCGGGAATTATTAAACAAGAAATCCTCTTTATTCAGTGGGCGGATATACTGTATATAGCATTACCTAATAAAACTACGTAATGCCCCAAATAACTAGATTGCAATGGAAATTCAATATTCATACACTCCGGACGATTATCCATTGAAAAAACACACCCATTAGGTTTAAGTGTTATGACAAAGTCTCTGGAAATAAAGCGACAATTCCATGGGAATGGACAAACGTGCAGCCTTGATGTTTCATCGCTGTTTTTTAAGACCCATTGCCCTAATGGACTTGATAGCATCACTTATTATAAATATTCATGAAGAATTCGTCGACATTTTAATCAGCTTGTTGTTTCTAAATAAATTTAAATGGAAAAATCCCTATGCAAACTAGGACAGGGACAGTGACGGATTAATGAAAATATGGCCTGTTTGCTTGTGTTTAGCATCCATCCAAATAATTTCACGCTTAAACAATCATTGTCAATTCAATTAATGATGCCTGAGCATCAGACGGCCGTAATGTTGATTGAGTTAGCTAATTTAATGGAATTGGGCGATTTAATCATTCAAAAGCCCATTTGCCAGGTTTGAGTGAAACCTAAAATATTTTGGTCTTCTTTCCAGCCCCATCTGGTCCGACATGCGGCCGCAAGGACTTTTTGCTTCAAGAGAGCTCAATGAGTGGCCGATTGATTTCCAAAGGAATTTTCCGCAATAAATCGCAAACGGAGAAAATGGAACTGTTCAACGAAACCATATGCAGCGAAGAAATCTACGGTCCGAAGCGCGACGAACTCTACATAGTTTTACCCATATCGGTGATATATTTAGTGATATTTATTACGGGAACTGTAGGCAATATCACAACGTGTATAGTGATATATCGGAATAAATCGCTACATACTGCCACGAACTACTACCTGTTTAGTTTGGCCGTTTCTGACCTGGTTCTATTGGTGTCTGGGTTGCCGCAGGAGATTTATTTGATCTGGAGCAGGTAAAACAATCAAAACGTAAAATAGATATAAATTAAAATAGTCAATTGTTGTCTAAAAGTGGTATGAAAATGATGAGGTTGGAGGTTGAATGGATTATTCCGACTTGCGCGAACATGTTCATTACACCACATTCACAAATCTGCTAAAAATTGACATTTTGGTAAATTTTTACCAAACATTCTACATCTGTAGATTCACGTCTCTCTGCTAAATATTCCGAAAATTTCAAGTCTCTACTTGCTTCAGTTGGGAGGCGGCGAATTTTTAAAGAAAGAGCGCAATTGGCCAAACTTTTTCATTACGAGACCGGTATTTACTAAGCGGGCGAAAATTTATATTTTGGACAATTTTTACTAATCAAACTAGATCTGTAGGTTTACGCCTGTGCTAAAGATTCCGAAAATATCAAGTCGCTACTTGCTTCAGTTTGGAACAGACGAATTTTTAAAGAAAGGGCGCAGTTGGGAAAAAATGTTCATTATGACATCAACATTCACTAAGCTGGAAAAAATTGATATTTTGGACAATTTT